GGGGACAAGGCCCGAGTCACGCCCTCAAATCTTGGCTCGTGCATTGCTTCCTTTTTACCAGAATCCTTAAACACCAACCTAAGCACCTCAATATTTCCCTAAAGACCCCAAATACCGACCTTAGTTAGTAAAACCTTAAACAATGCATGTTTTGAAGCATGGCCATAGTCGTATACTGATGCCTCCTTTGTTTGCTTCTTCCAGAGAACAATATCGACGATGGCTTCACCTACTGATCTTAGGGCTATTATGGAAGAAATGCTCTGGGAGCAAGAGACCTGCTTCCGGACTATGCTAACTAAACAAAACAACTCCCTTCAGAATACTATCACCCCTCAGCGAGAGACCATTTTGGGGGAAGCAAGGACTCTGATAACTGTCAGCCAGAATGATAATGTCCCTCCGAATCAGACTTGAGGATCTAATGAGCAACCTAGTGCTCAACCCAATGGCGATCAGACTGCCCGAGGGTTGGTTCCTGAGGTAGGGGCCACTTCTAATGCTACTGCCACCCCGAGCTAGATAGGGGAGGATTCTGCCTCTCCCAAGGTCTAAAAGATGATGGAGAAAATGGACTCCTTCGAGAAGTTCCTCAAGAGAATTAAGAAATATGAGGATCTTATCGATGTTGATTCTGTCCCACTCTTTCTAGAGGCCAGGCTGCCCGCCAAGTTCAAGATGCCTGCCATGGACAAATTTGATGACACCACATGCCCCAAGACTTATCTAAAGATGTACATGGGTGCCCTCACTCCTCTCGGCATAAACAATGAGATCCTTACTCAGTTGTTCCAGCAGTCTCTTACTGATGCTGCTTTCCGCTGGTTTGTCGCCCTATACAACGCTAAGGAGAGGACTTGGGATGAGATTTGTAATACCTTCAACTAATAGTACCACTCCAACGTGGAGGTTGACATTACTAGGAGGGATTTAGAGACCACCAAATAGGGGGCCCGAGAATCCTTCACCTCGTTCTTTACGAGGTGGAGAGGCAAAGCTGCCCAAATGCTCAATCGTTCCTCCGAGCATGAACAAATTGGCATCATTTGTCAAGAATCTACTCCCCTGCTACTGGAGTCACTTAAGGATGTAGTACCTCCTAGACTTTTGAGCCCTCATTGCTACTGCCTCAAAGATCGAGGACCTAATCCAATCAGGCCAGATGAAAGAGGATCAAGCTTCTTCCTCCAGATATAAGAAGCCTCAAACCAGCTATCATGCAGTTCCTCCCATCCCTCAGAAAAGTAGTGAGGTTAACAATCTGATTGGCCAAAGACAGCTTCCTCCTCCTCCACCACCAAGACCAGTTGCTCGAACAGATAGGCACAACTTTACAAACTTAGGGGTTCCTCTTTCTTTCATTTTTGAAAAGGCTATGGATGATAAGTTGACACAGCCCTTGGAACCAAGACCCCTACCTAACTTGATTCCAAAGAACTTCAACCTCAACTCCTTCTACTCTTTACATCAAGGGCCTGGACACAAGATTGATGAGTGCAAAAATTTTAAAGCATAAGATCCAGGACTTGGTAGAAAGCTGCCAAATACTTCCCATTCGACACCAACCGAACATAAACACAAACCCTCTCCCTCATCACCAGAATAACATTCATATGATTCATCAAGAGCCAAATTCTAACTTGGTCTCACTGATCCACCCCATTCTAGACAACACATGCTGCGTTGTAGACTTGAATGACGTACTTGAGAAAATCAACTCCATTAACCAGAGCAGTAGACAATATCCATCTCCTCCTCCAGAAGCTCTACCCAACCCAACCACCCTAGCCAAAGATATGCCCAGTTCTAGCTTTGGACCCCAACCTAAAAAGCTAATCTTGGAGCAGCTGAAGAAGACCAAGGCTAAAATCTCTATGTGGGGGTTAATCCAGTCCTCCTTCATGCATCGCCAAGCTCTGGTAAAAGTTATGGATCAATGCCAGACCATTGCTGATATAACCCCAGAGGCGTTGGTGGCATCCATCACAAGGAACCCCTTAGCATTGGCTCTCTATTTCTGTGACCATGAGATCCCTGCTAGAGGAGACCACGATCATGCTTTATACATCACAGTCTAGGCAAGGGGTAACACAGTACTTAGGGTTTTGGTAGATAACGAGTCTAAACGTTTGCCCTCTAAAAGTGGCTAGTTGCTTGGGCCTAATTGCTGAAGACTTTATACCATCTAATCAAATAGTGAGGGCATATGACAACACCAGGCGTGTAGTATCAGGCGTGACTGATCTAGAGGTCACAATCGGGCCCACAATCATGATTATCCCCTTTTGGGTGGTGGACGTCTCGACTTGCTTTAATCTCCTCCTAGGAAGGCTGTGGATTCACAAGGCTAAAGCAGTAGTCTCCTCTTTACACCAAAATTTGAAATTCCCCTATGAGAATGCATTGTAACAATATTCTTGTAATTGTTTATTTATATGAATAGCTCTAGACCTTGTTGGAATATTTTTCTCATCAAAATCTTTTATATAAGGTAAATGAACTATATGTTGCTTTCTAGACCAAAAGACATTCAGAATATTTGAACATACTTTAAACTATATGAACTATATGTTGTATGTGAGTTTGTTGTAATTGATGTTTAATCATAATATTATTAATTTCTTATTTCAAATAACTAATATGCTTCTCTTTTTGTTCAATAAGATTTATCTCTTTACATACAGAAATATCTTATATAACACTTAAATCCTTTTATTTAAGTGGTTGCACAAACTTAAAAAATATTTGATTATTTAATATATTTATTTTTTAATCCTTCATTATCTACTCTAAACGGATAAATAGTAGCTAAAAAGGGTGTTCTTAGTATGACTCCTGTAGTAAGATTTTTAACTAAAATAAATGGTGTTCTAAGACAAAAACCATCACTACATATTTTTGCTTTTGTTAACTTATATGCTACTATTAACTTACTGCCATTAGCTGTGAATAATATTTCTTTAGTTTTTTTTCATAATATACAATTGGAATTAGTCCTTCTTGTAAACAATTCTGATTTGCATCAGAGTCAACTAATGCAGTCATAGTTAAATGAAAAAAATCATTATTAACTATTATTTAACTAAAACTGTTCACTTTTGAAGCTCACTTTAGATATTACATTAATAAACTTATCACACGATAATGTTTCAGCTAAATTATTAATCTTTCTATTTTCTGAGGGCTCTGCCTGTACATCTATAATGTTATTAACTTGTAACTGAATAATATCTTGTTTAATTTTATTTTGCTCTTATTTTAGTTCTTCTATTTCTTTTTTAACTGTTTTAATTTCTCCTTGTAGGTCGGTCAAAGAAGGGGAAAGTTTCTCTTTATAACTATTGAACCTATTAAATATTTCTTTTAACTCGTATGGCTCATATTGTTTCTCTTTTTATGTAATATCAATCTTTTAATTTTAACAAATAATGTTTTTTAACATTCTTATCTTCAATCTTATCTATACAGTTTAAAAGAAAATTTGTCTCTCTAGTAACTATGTTTATACTATTCAATTTACAAATGCAAGGACCATCACATTAACAGTTATCTATATCACTTGAATTGATTGAAATAAATTAAAATTTTAAAAATAATTTAAAGACAAATTAGCGATAAACTAATGTACTGATATTTAAAAAATAAATGAAAACATAGTTAAATTTATTTTTCTATATAAATATATAAGATTCAGTTTGATTTTATCATTAGAAAATGAAATAAATCGAATTATTTAAATGGCTTAAACTACAAAAAGATCATCAACTATGCAAGTTGTTGAGAGATCACCCCAAAATGACCTTTGTACTCCGGACACCCTCGTTTAGAAATTTAAATATATTAGCATCCCAATTTAAAAATCAGATAATAAAAAGGACTAAACTGATATTTAATATGAGACCCACTACTTTATCTTGGATTAAATTAACCCAAGGAAATAAAAACTCACCGTTTTGTTAGAATTTGACATGGGACGATAAAAAGGCATGAGCGAGCTCATAGCAAAGGTCAATGAACTTTCAAAATCTCAAATACCCATTTCAAATTATTGTCTTCTATGTCTGCTAATAAATCAGGACCTCTCCTTTTCTTCTCGACGACTATTTCAAATCCACAATTCTCAATTGCTTCATTTCGCTCTCTTTTCTCTTTTTTTGTCTAATTATTACACATCAATCTCTCACACCACGCAAACACATCATCATCTCTGGTCTTGCCTGCAATTCGTCTCGCATGGGTCATCTCCTCAGCTTCTTTACTCTCACTCCATTAGCCCATTTGACTATCTTTCTCAATTTATCAAACACTCTCAATTTCAATTGTTTTCGCTTACAGTAACATGATCCGGTGCTTTACAAAGAGCGAATAGCCATTTAAGGCTGTTGTCTTTTACTCATCTATATTGAGAAATCGTGTAAAACCCAATAATTATAATTTCATTTTTTCTTTTGCAAGCCTCTGGAAAAGGGTTTAGTTTTTAACGAAGGGGGGTTCAGGTGCATGGTCATGCGGTGAAGTTTGGGTTTTGTGAGGATGTTTATGTTAGGAATGCTTTGATTTATTTATATATTCTGCTTTGTTGTTGTATTGAGAGTTCAAAAGGGGTTTTTGATGAGAGTCCAAATAATTATGATGTTACTTGAAACGTTATTTTGGCCGGTTTTGCAAGAGATGGATAAGTTGGCGTTTTACAGAACATGTTTGATAAAATGCCTGAAAGAGATATTGTCTCGTGGAGTACAATTAGTTTTGGCTTAACTTAGGTTAAGCTAACCCAAACTAAAATTGTGGGTCCACATTAAATATCTATTTAGTCTTCTCACGGTGATTTTTGAATTAGGATATTAATATATCTAAATTTTAAAATAAAAGTACCGGGTTATAAAAATCATTTTGGAATGATTTGCAACGCAGAAATATTTTTATAATTTAAACTATATTTAAATACCAACCCATAATTTACCGAATTTGGATATGTGCAATTGGATTTTCGGTTAACCGAACCAAATGCTGCCTTCCGGATAATATACACTTCCTACGGATACAGCAAGTCCTATCTCTCTTCCAAAATCAGCGGGACCCAAAAATCAAAACCTGATAAAAATGAAAGAAACCTGATTTAGGGCCCTGATTTTGGTGCCACTGTCCTCCTTCTCTCAACCTCACCCATTCCCTAAACTTTTTGTGGGACCCGAATACACATACTCTCTCTAACAGTAATTTTCTACGTTCTCTCTCTTAAAAAAAAATTTCCTTTTTTTAATTTCTCTGTAGAATTCGATCTTCTACTACGTAATCCGATGGTTCAATGCCGGTACGTTTCGGTTCTGTTTCGGTTATTTTGGGCTATGTGATGTCTGAACTTTTCGTCTTTTGTGGAAATTTTTGGTTCCAATAAGGGTTTCTGTTTTCTGCTCTTCCTCTGTAACGCAAAAAACCCTAAATTTTTGCTCGAATTAGGTTTCTAAAGTCTCTGTAAGTTGCATAATATTCGTTCTGAAGTTCTTAGTTATTTGCACGAATTGGGTTTCGAGTAATTTGATTTCTATTTTATTATTATTTTTCTGAATTTCATTGAATTTTAGTGTTTTACTCGCTTAAATGCTTTTTAGAGGTTCAATCATTAGTTGGGCATTGCTTGTGGAGAGGTTTCTATGCGTAATTTCTCTATGTTGGTTGCTGTGGCAATGCCTTGACCGTTAAGCTTCGTTTGACTGCCGAGTAATTGGAGGAAAGGAAAATAAGCTTAAAATTTGAAAGTTTTATTCTTTGAGCTTGATTTATTAGTGTGGAAAAGGAAACTTTAGTTAACTGCGGAAGATGTAAGTTCTGCCTTAGTTGAGACCAACCTTTTCATTTTCGGAAATCCAAAAGAGACGCGGAATTACTGTTTTCTGCTTCTGACTCTCTTTTGTTTCTTTAGTACTCTAGTAACTAGAAGACAGACTCTCTCTGCTCTCTCTTCCCAGCTGCTACTGTGTTTTCTAGTTTTATTGAACTTCCATATTCCTGTATTCATTTACTTTTGTGGACTTTACTATATGACTGAAGGAAACGTTGTTGATAACCAACAGCATAAACTAATTAAAGCTTATGGTCGTTGCAGATATGGTTACTGTGTTGAAATATTGGTGGTTATTTAATATTTTCAAGTTCTTGACATTTCAAGATGCTGCTTTGGAGATAATTACTGGACACACTGAAACAAGCTGTTCAGAACAAAATCATTAAGATTGATGACTTGATTTAGTTTGGTTTTGAATAAATGGCTGGAAATGTGAGATTTGAATCCAATTCAGTTAGTACTGAGGAATTAGGTTTTACTGGGAGCTATCCAAATGGGCAGAGGGGGAACTATACCAGTGCGACTCTGGATAGGTCTAGCAGCTTCCGGGAAGGCAGTGAGAACCGTGTCCTTGTTTCTGGAGCTAGTGTGTTTCGGGGTAGTGTTTCATCTGAGGTGTCCTCACTTACTCATGATCTGTTGCTGGATCCTATTACAATGGGGGATCAAAAATATAGGCCAGGCGAGTTAAGGAGGGTTCTAGGAACATCTCTTGGGAACACAACGGAAGATAATTCTTTTGGAGGTTCTCACTCAAAGCCTCCTCCTTCAGTGGCTACAGAGGAACTGAAGCGCTTCAAGTCAAGTGTATTAGATGCCAGTTTGAAGGCCAGGTATTGTTGAATTCTTCTGCAATAACTGCTGGCTAGTGAAATTTTCAAAGGTTAACTGTAACAGTGGCATATTTTTTTAGATACCAGAATTCTTTTCTAACTTTCCGTTCAATTGAAGTCTAAACTTTTTTGGTCTATCATTTTTTCTGTGTGTGGTGGCACAAATATTGTTATGGTTTCTATAAATTTAATTGGTAATTACTTGTCATTGTAACGTTATTCTTCTGAAGATACAAATTCTTTTCTGTCAGGGTTCGAATAAAAAGGTTGAGTGAATCCTTATTAAAATTGAACAAGTACTCTGAAGCATTGAGTTTTAAAAAGCAACATCGAAATGAGATATTGATGAGTGAAAGATCAGGTGGGTCGAACTTTATGAAGATGGGAATTCAGATTCATCGAAATGCTTCTGATCTTGGAACTCATGACCGTGCTAAGAATATAGTTTTGAATAAGCGGGTTCGCACTTCAGTAGCAGAATTACGGGTTTGTACATGAAAAACTTCTCAAATTTTGCCTTTTGTATTTGTCAAATAATACTAAATTGTTTATGTTGCACTATACATCCTTGAATGTTAATTTAGCGTGTTCAAGTTAAAAAATTTTGTTTAAAATTATTTGAGCAACAAAGGTTAGGATAAAATTATTTGTTTAAAATTATGTTGCAATTTACTGTATACCTTAACTTCTTTTTTTCATTTCACTTTTTTATGTTATGAAACAAAGATTTTGTGCCTTTTTTTTTTTTGGATTAATGACTGAAAAAACTCAAATTCTTCAAAAAAATTGCTATTATATTTAAACCTATCAAAACATTCTATTTTATCCTAATCTTAAAAATTAGTTGCAATTATACCCAATTTTTCAAAATTAAAATGAAGATAAGCTATTATACATTTAATTTTTTTTCTGGGTACTCATCTGCAAACTCAACTCTATCCTAATCCTACATTAATTGCAAGAATTGATGGGCGTAATTTTGATCAAATGGGTACAATTGCAATTAATTTTCAAAATTAAGGTAGAATAGTCTATTTTTGGATGTGTAGATATAATTGCAATTTTTTTGAAAATGTTTGGGTTTTTTACTTAAGTCTTTTTTTTTCCTTGTGGGAAATTTGGTGGTTATGTTTGTAAACCACTGATCTGGCTCAATTTTGTTTTGGTCTTATTGAATTGCGATGGTAGCTCGTTGATTTTGTCCTGTCAGTGTTTATCTTTTCTGAGAACTCTGTTTTCTGGGCACACGTTGACTTGACATATTTATATTGGCTCAGTACCAAATAAAACTAGTTCTTTGGATTCCTAATCAAAACTATCAAAATATTGCTATGTGGTAACCATGACACTTTTGTATTAGAAACATATTGTATAAAATGGGTGACTTCACTTTTCTGTAGACATACATGTGCTTCCATAATGCTTCAACTGTTATCTTCCTTACACCTCAAATACTCATACTATATTGAATATATCATTTACACTGCAATTTTGTTGAGACATAGTAGCCTATTGCTTTGCCTGAAACAATAGAAACTAATTACATTACTTTCAACCTATCTGTAAAATTCAATCGATATTTTCAATTGTGTCAAGACATAAAAGTGCGGGCATTACTTAAATATTTGTCCATTTCATGGAAACTGTTTAGTGAAGGTTTCACTTTTAATTTACTGACTGGTTTAGTTATGTTCCTTTCATCATTTTCTTTTCTGAAATATGTAGGCTGATGTTCGGAGCAATACCCTTCCAAGGCAGCCATTAGTTATGGGGAAAGATAGAGATACACTCAGGGATGGCGGTGAAGGTTCGAATCATCTACCAGAAGAAAAGGTTCGGAGAATGCCTCCAGGAGGGGAAGGGTGGGACAGAAAGATGAAAAGGAAGCGTTCTGTTGGCTCTGTTTTTGCCAGATCCACTGATAGTGATGGAGACGTTAAACGAAACATGCATCATAAGTTTAACAATGAACCCGGTTTGCAGTCATATGATGTCCAGAGCTTCAGGTATTTTCTTTATTGGTTACATGCCATTTTTCACTAGATTAGAACATTTTTTATTTGCGACTTGACAATGATTGCCAAGTGGTACGACATTTTCAAATAATGATATATCCCTAATTCTTGGTAAATTGAATAACAAATCAAGCTATTGTTTGAGAAGGAATAATGCTTCTTTGGGCCTGGTAGATGCGAAAAGAAAAACTATAATTCCCAAATATAATGGATTGGATGTGTGAATCATGTACTGAAGGTGCTTTTTTATGTTCTAAGACTTTGAAAATTTTTAGGTCAAAGACTGACATGGGAGAGAGGGTTTAGAAGACTAGTTTGCTAGAGATCAATTTTTCTATTTTTTGGCGATTTCCTGTTGTATTTTTGTTGAGTGAAGTTGAAATTTGTATTGGGCTTAGGACCAAGTCAGTCTTGTAATTTGTAACAATTGTTTATTTATGTTTTGATGTAAGGTAATATCTGGAGTCTGGATGTGAAATTTTTAGTTTAAATTGAGCAAGGACTTTCAGAGAATAAAATTTTGACTCAAAATATTAATCTCATACTGTTTTCTTTCATTTTAGCCCTCTAAAGCTTAAGATTACTTTTTAGGAGGTAAAAGAGATATAAGGGATGGGCTCTGAAGTTTAATCTCTTTCCCTGCATTGCCCCAAACTAATCTTTTTTGGTTTTTCTCCAATGGTTCCACTACTGAGCTAGATGTGGGCAAGAGAAACATTAAATGGACTCCAAGATTGGAGCACTCTTTATAAGGTTATGCCTCCACCTTTTCCTTTTGGAAAATAATTCCTTTTCGACCTTGCTAAGTTTCTTTCTAACTGCTGAATTGTTAAGAGTTGAAATAACACGTGAGAAATAATTGTTGAAATTGGGTGTACTATCCAAAAATACAGAATTTCATAATTCCCAGTTGAAAGGTAGAAGTCTTTTATTAATATGTATGATCATGATGGTCAAGTTTTGAAGGGATCCACACCATTTGAAAGTAATGAAGGTTATAATCAGATTCACAGTTCTGGAAAGAGCACAAGCACACTAACGTATATAATATGTCTTTCTACCCCTCTATGCAATCAAGTTTCATTCTCTCTCTACACGCACATACATTTTGATATCCATTTTGGGTGTATTTTGCAATTGATTAAGAACATGTGTTATCTTCTTCTCTTATTATTTCTTGACATGATTGTTGAAAGCTTGAAATTTGGGTTAATAGTTTTGGAACCCAAAATTTTATGAGAACATAAAAATCTGAATCTATCAGTTTAGGCATTTCAAATTTCAGTTTGTCATATCAACCCGACAATCTTGGTTTGGTTAAGCTTATGACCTTCAACCCACTGACTTGACCTGTGCGCACCCCCTAAAAAAAAGTAAAATAGTAAAGAAGGGTTATCCTTCAAGCCCCTAAGGCTTGTATCTAGGCACCCTGCCTAGTGTTATACAAACCCCACTTCTGATGAGAATATGGGTGGTCTTGGACATATAAAGAAGGAAGCTACTCTCAGCCAATGGGTTAGCCTTTTATCCTGTCGAAGATTTTATCCTGTGGCAACTGGTATCAAAGTCAACTCTCTTAATCATCCAATGGGGTTTCCCATAAGCGATATCGAATCTGAGGTAGTCCTGTCTCCTCTATGGGTATGAAGCTGCTGTGACAAGGGTGTTGTACTAATGGGTGAGGGAGAATATTCATGTCCCACATCGGATGGAAATAGCGCTCCGTAAGGGAAGAAGCAGGGTGATTTTACATGAAATTGATGCCCTAATGGGAATGTGATGTTGAGCTTGTGTCTTGCATTTCTAAAACTTCCACTTCTTTGACTATATTCCTGCATGTAGTTGATTTTACTGTGGTTGCTTTGCTATCAAGAGACAAGAATTTAACTGTTGTTTACATAGTCTTTTATCTGCAATAATTGATGCTTAATATGCTGATGAATGATCATCTGTCTTGCAGCACAGGATCTTTTGGTGGTACTAGTGGCACTAATAAATTAGATGGAAGTTTGTCATCAGCCAGTTCAAATCTACGGTCCATTTCCAAGAATGAACATGAAAAAGTTTCTTTGACAAGGGATTTTGCAGACAGCGTTAATAAGGAGCGACTTATAGCAAAAACAAATAATAAGTATGTAGTAATTATATTGAATTTTATTCTTATAGATCAGTTACTATTTTTTAGGGCCTAACATACTTATATAGGACATGTTATAGAAGTGTTAATATCCCCACCAGAATTGTTTGATATTTAATAATTTGCTGCAACTTTCTTTTTTTTTCTGATTTTAATGCATTGATAACCATGCTTATTAGGTTAAATATTCTTGAAGACAATCATATAGTTGGTCCAAGTCCAGTGATGAAGGGAAAAGCTTCCAGAGCACATCGAACTGGCTCTGTAATGGCAGCAACCTCATCTAATTTTTCTCGCACGTCTGGAACTCCTGATGGATGGGAACAGACTTCTATCATAAGTAAAGTCAACTCAATCAGTGGGCCTAATAATCGGAAGCGCACGATGACTGCTGGATCATCTTCACCTCCAATGGCTCAATGGGTTGGTCAAAGACCGCAGAAAATTTCTCGTACTAGAAGAGCAAATGTTGTGTCTCCTGTCTCAAATCATGATGAATTGCAATCAGAAGGTGGACATAATTCTGATTTCGCCACTCGATTAATTTCTTCAGGGAGTAATGGGTCACCTCTGGCCAAGGATGTGACTATAGGAAATCAGCTAGTTCGAGTGAAACATGAAAGTGTTTCATCTCCAGCCAGATTATCTGAAAGTGAAGAATCTGGTGCTGGTGGAAGTCACGAGGGTAGACCAAAGGAGAAGGGAACAGGTGGTGGTGGAGTTGAGGAAAGATCCCAAAACCAAAGTGCTGGTCCTTCTGCAGTGCTTATGAAGAAGAATAAGATACTTAATAAGGAAGACATCAGTGATGGCTTGCGAAGACAAGGAAGGACTGGTAGAGGTGCATCATCTTCTAGGACTAGCATTTCACCAATGAGAGAGAAGTTGGAGACTCTAGCATCGGCGAAACCAGTTAGAAGTGCGAAGCCTGTATCAGATAAGATTGGAAGGTGGTGAATATTTCCTTCGACAAGAGGAGCAAGCTCTACTTTTTCATGCTTTGTTCTAATTATGATATCGTCATTATTATTATTTGATTATAGTTTAATGTGTTTCCTAGTTCAGTAAGTCAGGCCGTCCCCCTCTTAAAAAAATATCAGATCGCAAGACCTTTGCTCGTGGGCAAACAACCAGTGCTTCCCCAGTTCTCACAGGTATGAACTAAAGTAGCTTAATGTGGTAATATATTTTGGGGGTACTTTTCAGTGAATACATATATATATATATATATATGTATAAACTATTAATTAAAACAAGGCTCATAACTATAAAAATCCAAATCTTTGCCCTGGCTTTCAATTATAATGCTCTAGTTTGTGTCAACTATACTTGTAGCCCATAAAATATTAGTGCATTTATGCTATACTTGGGATAGCATATGCCACACCTCCATAGTATTCACAGAGCATATAGTTTATTCGCAAGAACTTCAATCAGCATATGAAGTTGCACAATTAAGGAGCTTTCTTTCCTATCTTTATTTTTAATTTTTAAAATGCTAAAAAATTATTAATAATTTAACACTTCCAATGAATTCATGTTGAGACACTTAAATATGCCACTTTGGATGTGATGTGATTCTTCCTGAATAAAAACATATCTAGTATTAGCAATTTAGCGGTCTTGGCATATGCTTTCCTAATTACACTATGATTAGAATCAGTGGCGAAGAGGAGCTAGAAATATTTTCTAGTGGGGTCATTATATTTAATTTGATTTTTAGTGGGGTCAATTAGATTAAAACTCTAAAATTTTTCACTTGATATAAATTTTTTTACCAATTTAATCCTATTTTATAAATATTTTTTAAAAAATTTAGTTGGGTCAATTGACCCCACTTCACACAGTGTGGCATCGCCCCTGATTAGCATGGATATTAGAGTTTACTACAAATTCAAACATTGATCATAATTGAAATTTCAGCCCAATGACTGCAAAAGCTTTTGAAAAGAAATGCAATTATACCCAACCTGACAAAAGGGGAAAAAAAAAGAAGAAAAAGACTATTTAACCCTAATTTCTTATATTAGTTGCAATCCTACCTTTTGGTCAAAAGTGAGATGAAAAATAGCCTATTATACCTATCATTTTTTTTCCGGCATTGCCAAACTCAACCATATTACATTAATCTCTCCTCAATTTCAGAAAATGGCGAGTTTAATTTTAACCGAATGGGTAGGATTGCAATTAATATTTGAATCCTGCATTGGAAGTATGACATTTCAACCTGAGATTTATATGAACTTCAGCTCTCCAACCTCAACAGCTAGCTGTTGAGGTACGGTTCTCCCAATGTCATAACAGAAAAATTGTGAATATAAATTAAATTGATAAACAACATAATTAATAATTTATTAATTAGTTTATGTCATCTATTTAAATATTTATGCTGAAATAGTTTTTATTGATTATAAATAGTGAGGCTGCAACTATTAGGTGAAACATGAAAAACTCTATATACTGAATGTATTAGCTTTTCAGTAGATCATGTAAAATTACTTCGTGAACTTTATTGTTGTCTAGTGAAAAACTTCATTACCATTCTATCAATAATATCTAGTTTTGTTGCACTCTTAAACTAGCAGGCTTAATGGTTAACAGTGCACCTGTTACTAATGAAATTTGATAGCAAAATCTAATAAATGTGAAACTGCTTGGTGCCCTGTGTTTTGATAGTGGCACATGAAGGTTCATTATGCTTCAGAGAGACCAAGTGAAAATAAATATACTCTTAGATTCTCCAACCTTGAGTGGTTGCTCAGGAAAATGGAGGAGAACGAAATAAATTTTTTATCTTATCTTAAATCGTCTGGATTCGGGAAGGACTGAACAACTTGATTAAAATACCTTTAGCTTAGTACTGGTTTGATTGAGCAGAACCTTAGTTTTGTTGCTCCAGAGTAATGGAAAAACAGTATCTGGTTGATTTGTTATTGCTTCCTACATCTCTTAGCTACCAAATTTGGGAATGGTTTTTGTTTCCTTGGTGAACGTTCCTAGAAATTTTTCTGATACATGTGTTACTTTTCATATTAAGATCTATCTATAATACCTACAATTTGTCAAGCATGTAATCTTCCTTGCTGAAATGAGAGGCAGGTGCAAAAGATACCTTATGTGTTTGATGTACCAGGTGAGTCCGATGATGATCAAGAGGAACTTTTGGAAGCTGCAAATTTCGCTTGCAATGCTAGCTGTAAGCACCTATAATCAAATCATGCCCCCCCCCCCCCTACCTTTTAGCTTAGTACTGGGTTTTGATTGAGCAGAACCTTAGTTTTGTTGCCTCCAGAGTATGGGAAAAACCAGTAATCTGGTTGATTTGTTATTGCTTCCTACATCTCTTAGCTACCAAATTTGAATGCGTTTGTTTCCTTTGGGAGGTTGAACGTTCCTAGAAATTTTTCTGATACATGTGTTACTTTTCATATTAAGATCCTATCTATCAATACCTACAATTTTGTCAAGCATTTGTAATCTTCCTTGCTGAAATGAAGGCAGGTGCCAAAAGATACCTTATGTGTGTTTGATGTACCCAGGTGGTCCGATGATGATCAAGAGGAAACTTTTTGGAAAGCCTGGCAAATTTCGCTTTGCAAATGCTAGCTGTAAGCACCTATAATTCAAATTCATGCCCCCCCCCCCCCCCCCCCCAAAAAAAAAAAAAAAAGTATTTCTTTTCAAGTACTATGAACAGACCGCAGAACTTCATTAATCCATGGCTTTTGTGATTTTTCCTGGTTCCAGTTCATTTGGAAAGGAAAATAGAACCAGTTTTTGCTGCTGGTCTGCCCCCCCCCCAAAAAAAAAAAAAAAAGTATTTCTTTTCAAGTACTATGAACAGACCGCAGACTCATTAATCCATTGCTTTTGTAGATTTTTCCTGTTCCAGTTCATTTTGGAAGAAAATAGAACCAGTTTTTGCTGCTGTCTGCTTAGAGGATATATCCTACTTGAAGCACCAGGTTGCTACAATCTAAATCTGGATATACGGTTTAATCATTCTTTCAGCTGTGTAATTTTTTTTCACCTAATTTTGTCAAAAATCCAAACCTTTGTGTGGAGGAAAAAAAAAAGTCAATTTGTTTTCTTTTCTCTCTCTCTCTCTCTCTCTTTCCTTGAAATATATTGAGAGAGAGAGAGAGAGAGAGAGAGAGTAAATAAAATAAAATAACTGCAATAATATTATTGTATTTAATTGCTGAAATGTTTACTTCTCAATCATTACAAATTAATTGTTTTTGCTAATATTAATAACTCGCACAAGGGTTTAAGGATTATTAGACCATTAAGCAAAAACATTATAATTCGGTATGCCAATAATACTTTGGTAATCTAAGTTTCCCGAGAATTTCCGTAATCTCCATTTTTTTTCCTTTTTTTGATAAATAGATAGCTGAAGAATAGTAATCTATAATATAAAAAGTGGACAATAAACCCATTTCTTGATTGAATAGAAGCACAATAGTCATAAACATTTTGTCGTCTTACTGCTCCAAATTTTCATTGTAGTCTTGCTAATATGAACACCATTACATCCTATTTGTTACAATTTATTTCTGTAGCTTAATTGAAGTGCAGCAATTTAATATATGGTTTAAATTGGCCTTCCAAGATCAACATAGAAATTCTTACTGCAAAAGAAGTATTTTACTCTGCCTTTGGTTTTTGCTTGCTATGTGACACTACTGTTGTTGTTTTTTCTCAGGGTAATCTGAATATAGAAGATTTTCACTCTCAACTTATTTCTGAAGAAAGCGAAAAAAGCTTCCAGGACCACATTTGGCCAAAGGGACTGACAACTGTAAATTTGGCAGATCAAGGTCTGGACAATGGTGCATCATTTGGAAACTTGGAAAGAAGAAATCAAATTACTCCACTGTACCAAAGAGTATTGTCTGCACTGATTGTGGAAGATGAATCTGAAGAATTTGAAGATAATTGTGAAGGGATAAATATCCTTTCTCAAAATAATAGAGATAGGTCACCTGGTGCTAGTTCTCTACCTATTGATTTTGAGCCTAGGAACAAGGATGTGATTGATTTTGATTATGACTCCATTTTGGGTTTTCAAACTCGGAAGCAATCTCTGGTTGATGTTTTTTCTTGCAATGGAAATGCTGCTATTAATAGCGCTCCTGGTTCTCACAATCAATTGTACAATGATAATTTTTTTCAAGGAGGTCAGGAATTTGTCAACTCGAAGATTGGAATGTTCACTGGGCATTCAGGAAATAATGATGGGAAGCTAGTACAAGTGAATGCTTTTGGTGTATCTGCCTTGGATTGTCAATATGAGCAGACATGTTTGGAGGAGAAACTCTTGGTGGAACTTCAGAGTATTGGCCTGTATCCAGAATCAGTGGTAACTTATATTTTTCATTCATTTGTTCATATGTCTTGTTCTTTTTTCATCGGTGCTATTGTATTTAAAAGGGTGATGAACTGGTGTCTGGAGTACATGAAAGTTTCACCATTACATCTATAAGAAGCAAAATTTACAGTGTAATTCGATACATCTATAAGATCAATAGAAGAAACTGTGTTAGAATTTGGAGAATCAATAGCCAAGGTGTCTTGAGGAAAATTATCTACAGGTTGTGTAGACTGTTCTACCTTGGTGCTTCCTACTTTTTCTCCATCCAAATAAACCACATCCAACAGGAGGGGCTTACTTAGGTTGCTATTTACTCCTTAAGTCTCAAAATAGCCTTGCTATTGCGGACATGATCATGTTGTCCATAAAATGAAATAAATGAAGACCACAAGTTAGTAAATTCTGAAAATACTTTATCATGCCTGAGTAATTGTAGGAAAGGTTTTTGTTTGAAAAATATAATGCGATTTTAGCCATGAGTTCTTAATTTTTTTTTTCCATGAAGAGTACGTTATGGAATGGATATCTTCTTTCTCTGCCCCCCCTCTCACCCAATTATTTTGGTTTTTATTTATTTGCATTTATAAATATACTTTACTCGCAACATTTTCATTTGTTTTATCTGCGGGCTTGACCCTTTTATGGTCGCATTGTTCTAGCCTGATCTAGCAGATGGGGAGGATGAAGCAATAAATCAAGATATCATTGAACTACAGAAGGGACTTCATCTGCAGGTTAAGTTTTGTTAGTTTTGCACTTCTCAAGCGAATCCAACTCCCAAAAATATTTTTCTTTGACAATTTCTCGATTCAAAAAGTCAACAGTTTTGCAAACTTTTTGAATAAGTTGTTCTCTCTCTCTCTCTCTCTCGCGGATACACACATTGTTTTGAGAATGTTCAGCATACTCTTATATAAAAAATATTCTCTCGCGGATACACACATTGTTTTGAGAATGTTCCGCATACTCTTACATAAAAAATATATAATTTCTCACTATATAATTAAGATTGTACTTCTGTAGATTGGTAAAAAGAAGACACACTTGGACAAAATGATTGAAGCAGTGGAGAAAGTCAAGGAAGCGGAAAAAGGGTAAGTTATTCAGTACTTTGAATATCTTCTGCTGTTAGGACCCTGGTCTTTCCAGAATGAATCAGTTATTTCAATGGGTACTTTAAAATTTTATTCAATTGCAGTATCTTGTGTTTCATTTGCAGGGCCCTTGAGCAGTTTGCAATGAACAGGCTGGTTGAGTTGGCATACAAAAAGTTGCTGGTACATTATTCATTTATCTACTTACTGGTTGTTATACCTGTTGTTTGTTTCTCATAAATTTGGAAGGCATATTATCTTGCATTTTCTTGATAGAAAGTTATATAATGACTCTCTATTCAAAATGTGTTACTTTAAATTTTCTAGTTGTGAAGTTGTAGTTGCTTGTAGATGCTTTTTCATTTTCCAATGTTGTGTTCTTCCAAGAATGCATTCTGAAGGCACGACTTAATTGCTTAGATGCTTGTCAACAGTTATCTAGAAGTTTGTGGACTAAATGCAGGAGTCCCTTAGTGGGCATCTCTAGAAGCTGCGAAAAAGCAAGTTAACATATTGTCAAATTTTTAACATATCTCTTAATGCACCTTATTCTAATCACTGCCCTCTTTTGTCATTGATTTTTTCCTTCGTGAGGGCACACATCATTGCATAAAGAATAAGTGGCCATTGGTTTTGGAGCAAACAATTGGGATCGAACCCAATAACAGTTCCAAGAATTCTCCAGTTGTGAGCTAATCCCTAGTTGCACAAGGAACAATAAACTGGACAGACCCTTCCAATTTGAGCTTGACAAATCAAGTGTACATTTGAAAATTGTATTAATAAAAGGGTTCATTGTTATGAGAATTTGATTTTGAGTTAGAATAAACTATTTTAGGAAGGAAATAATAAAGAAGTGAAAAAGGAAACTTTGACTCAAGAGACTTAAAGGGTATTTTTGTCAAATAACAAAACCTTGATCTGACATAATATTAAATGATCTGGAAATAACACCACCATTTAACAAAGTAATTGGATGCTACTGCCTTCTCATTAATCCACCCTAAGTTCTTTCTGTACATTTCTAACATTCCAACAAGTTAACCTAAAACCAGAGTTAACTTCAGATAATTGGATAGATTCCTCTACCCCTGAGACTTTCAGTCCCTACTTTGCAAAAGGATGGTATGAGTACCATTTTTATTAAATGTTTGAAAATTTTGTCTTCTTCATGTGTTTGTGTTTGACGTTTGGAGAATTGATGTTTCAAGTGGAAGACATTAAATTTACATTTTCTTTAGCATAGTTGGTAATCTGCTCATCCAAGGCATTACTTAAATGAGGCATGGAATCTTGTGCTTCCGAACAGGAACAGCAGGTGTACCTTCAGTATTGACGGAGGACTCCCATGCTTCCTGTTGATTCCTTGTAGGAGATTTATTCATTTATTTTAAGCTGATTGAATATTACCTTCTGCATAATTTTTCTAACCATCCATTAAGATTCTGAAATTTACTATGATGCATATTGTCAATTTGAAATTGTCTTGATTAACATTGACAGGCTACTAGAGGAAGTTTTGCTTCAAAGTATGGTGTCCCTAAGGTTTCAAAACAAGTTGCCCTGGCTTTTATGAAGAGGACTCTTGCTAGATGCAGAAAATTTGAAGATACAGGGAAAAGTTGCTTTGGTGAGCCTGCTCTCCGAGATGTCATTTATGCTGCACCTCTTCATAGAAACCAGACAGAATCAACTAGTTGCATTGGCTCAGCAGTAAAATCAGATATGCACCACAGAATTCCTGACTCTCAAAACGACCCTGGTTCCTCAGGTTTGCTTTCTATCTGTATAATTAATGATTTCAGGAAATGTAATTGTATTTTATGATGATTTGCCCTTCTATTTGAGTGGGCATTCTTGAAAGTACTGTTTGGTTATGGTGGAAGAGTTGTTGGGTAGGGATGTTCATATGGAACTGGTGAAGGATGTTTTCTGCTTGCACAAAGTGGAAGCTTGTTACTCCCTTCTTAGTCATTGAATTTTTAACCAGCTTACCTACCTTGAAGCTTGCTTTAATAAATTGATTTTCTGCTGCTTGCATGAAATCCTGTCCATTGTTTTGTTGCTAACAATCCCAAGTTATTTAATCTTTACTCCTTGAGCTTCCTCTAATGATTGGGTTTGTATTTTGAATTTGCAGGCTTGTCCCCCTACGGAGCAGTACAGCACAATCTCCAAAATGATAAATCTGGCAGAGGTGCAACTCATAATTACCCACATGAACGTGAATTTGCCAAAACTGGACCATTATTGAATAGAGGGAAGAAAAAGGAGCTGCTGCTTGATGATGTTGGTGGTAATGCTTCCTTCAGAGGCACCCCATCTCTTGGTAATTCACTGCAGGCTGGAACCAAGGGAAAGAGAAGTGAGAGAGAAAGGGACAAGGATGCACTAGCCAAAAATCTCGTTACTAAAGCGGGCCGGGCATTGCAGCCTGGTGTGAAGGGTGATCGGAAAACGAAATCAAAGCCTAAGCAGAGAACTGCTCAGCTATCAACTTCAGGAGATGGAATTAGTAACAAGTATAAAGAAACAAGCAACAACAGAAAAAGAGAAGGGAGCCTGAATTCCTATGGTTATAACAATGCTCAAGATTTATCTAAAGAAAGCAGGGGAACAGAAGTTGCAGACTTGCAGGATTTATCTTTAGAGCTGGGCATAGGCAATGATATTGGGAGCCATCAAGATTTGAGTAATTTGTTTAACTTTGATGAAGATGGACTGCCGGAAAATGACTTGATGGGCCTTGATTTACCGATGGACGGCCTTGAAATCCCTATGGATGACCTTTCAGAGTTGAATATGCTTCTTTGAAGGGAGAAGAGTGTAAATTCCATGGATTAGTATGTATGAGATTTATGTGCTGCTGCTTGGGACCAACCTGCTTACATATAATTTATGCCCCTTGCAAATATGCACTTGTAATTATAGGTCATTCTTTTGCTATACTTCTCTGTACAAGTTATAGAGAGAGAAGTAAAGAAAATTTTGTTTCTGATGTAGACAGTCTCTGTTTGTAACATATTACATTTTACTTTTATAGAGCCTTTTTATTTTTATTTTCATTTTTATTTTAAATGTGATAAGAATCTCTTAAATCTCTAATTCTGATGCGGAACCAAGCTGTTTCCGATCCCATTTCAATCTAAACAAGGCAGGCAAATGTCAATGAATGCCTCCAAAATGCGTCCAGAGCTTTTGCTCCAAAGAAATTGATGTTAGGTTGGTCCAGAGCTTTTATCTTTCTAATTTGTATAAGAGTCTATTCTCTCACATACCTCTATATATATATATATATATATATGACTTTTCATCAATAAAAATTATGCTAATATTTTCTCTTTATTCTCTCTATACATTTCTCACTATTTTCCTATTATTTTCATAATACTATTTATAACTGTTTTTTCTCAATTTGGATTCAGGTCAATGATACTTTGGGTGGAATATAATACTGAAATAAACCAAATAGTCTGGTTGGAGTCCAGTTTTTTAAAATTTTGGTTTGATTTCATATTTTAATAGAAAGAACCATTTTTTAATTAATTTTTATTTTATCATATAAAATCTAAAAATCCTAAAAAAGTCTAACTGATTTGACCAAAAGTAACTCCCAACTGAAAACTGAACCAAAACAAATTAATTTGATTTGGTTATATAAAAAAGTTCCAGTTAATTTGATTTTCTTTATTAAAAAAATTGAATTATTTAACCCAATACCAATTCAATTCAGTTTGAACCAAACTGATCGAATGCTCAATCATTAAACTTTCCTTTGTACTTCTAACTTGTATTAACCTGAGTTGGGTCCTCTTCATCAACATCAAATCCTTTTCTCACTTTGAGATTCAGTTTAACTTTCAAGTATTGATGATTCACCTTCAACTTCATTCATACACTCACTCACTCACTCACTCTCTCTCTCTCTCTCTCTCTCTCCCCCACTCTTAATGAATTTTCAAGTCTTATCCTAGCTTGAATCAACTCTTAATTGCAAACATCAAAATCCAGAATATATTGTTCTTCTAAATCTTCATATTGACGATATATATACACTACCAAAAAACACCAATAGCGACCGATAATATTCTAAAATCGGTTACTAAATTCTATTTGCTCCCATTTTGCAAGAAATCAGAATCGTACGATCAAAAACTGATGGCTAATGTATTAGCGACCTATGTGTACATTCGTTTGCAAAACTGCGACGGATAGATCCGGTCCTTAATTATATAAAATCAGTCGCACAATGGTCTTCGATTGGTCATCCTCGGAATGGTCATAACACTGGTCACAAATCTAAGCTGTCGCTAAATTATATTTTTAATACAGGTAAATGGTTGCGAAACAGACGCAAAAGGGATCACTAAAAATTTTTTTAAGTAGATGGATGCAGTCTCTGATCAGTCGCAAATCTGGGTTTCTCTTCTTTAATTGGAGCAGAATATAAATCCTATGTATTCCCATCAAATGCTCTCCTAGTTGTTAAATGTAATATTTGAATTAGAACAGACATATGGAAACCGTCAAGAAAAGGTTAAATCATCAGGATAAGTAGAATGAAAGATAGAAAATGGTATGTAATAAAAAATAGAAAAATAACAAAAGTTGCTGATTTATTATGTTATTACTACTTTTGCAGATATCTCCAGCTGTTTGATAATTGAGAAAGCAAGTGAAAAGAGGAAGGAATTGAGAAAAAGATAAAGAGAAAATTAAGGAAAAAGAGGAAAGGTAAATTTTATTATTCTCAACTGGTTACATCTCAAGTCTCACAGCTAAAGTAGTATCTTACAACCTGCAGATTTGAGCTAACTGATAACACCCTTTAGTTTTACTACCATAATCACAACGCAGGGACCTTGCATTTTGGACCATCAACCATTTACCTATCCACTAGTGATTTTCCAGAATCAAGCTTTCATATAGCAGGATAGTGAGATTGTATTTCAAGTTGGAGGAAAACTACTCCTGCCAACTTGAACTTTATACCTGGTTGAGCATGTCACATCAATCTTGTTATGCAGTGGTCCAGCAGGAAGCGAAAGAATTCTCTCTTGCGTACCCATATACCGTTGACAGCTTTCACCAATTGGCCATCAGTTCTAGTTTTTGCATATTATTTACTCTTTCTTTCGAGTAATAGGATGAGTTGTTCTACAGTTTTGTCAACAAAACTTACGTTTGGAAGATAAAGACCCTCACGGTACTCCTCTTCATCGAACTCCAATCTCCTTATTGTTCTCTTGTAACTTTCTGCAGCCGCTTTTGGGTGACCCCTAGCCACAGACACCTGCAATTCCATAAAATAGAGAGCACTAATAGCAATTTCACAAGAGTTGAATTATTTTTTGACCAAAAATAAGGAAGCGAAATATTTGAAAGCTACGATGCCTAATATTTGAATGATCTTCACAAAGAAATAGGGTTTGGAATTAATGAATAAAACTGCAACAACTTGATGCACATATCTAAAAAGGAAACATTAATTTAGCCATGCAATTTTACACCTATCTTCAAGAAAGGCACGTCAATAGAAATATCACACTTCTGCAAAATTTTAAGGGATTTAATTAAGGAATACAATGATAAAAGAAATATAGCCCAAACGTAATTTACCCAATGTCTTTCTTGCAGCTCAAAAATCCAAAATCTCCACTCTGTTATTGGCTCCCCATCAATTTTAACAAATATATTTCTCCAGTTAGTGTGATGAAACTCTACTCTGTCCAATCCATTCACCAGTCCACTCCCTGTAGCTTTGACATAAGCTTCTTTGAGACACCAGTATCTACAGAAAACTTGTAGATTGATACTTAATCATACCTGAATCCAGATGGATTACTTCAACATTTATCATGTATTGAATTAGAACTTAAGTTTCTTATGTAATTTAGAGCTTAAGTTTCAAACCTAGCATTTAATCCCTTTGTAGTTACAAGTATAAGTTTACCTATAAATAGTCTATCCCATGCTAGTTGTAATCAAGCAACAAAGAGTTTTCTAATAAAGAAATTCTATTCTAAACTTCTTCTCTGTCTTCTATTCTTGAGTTTTTTATCAATAGTGTTTCTTTCTAGTTTTCTATTAAGTGGTATCAGAATTTCTAAAGCTAACAATCATATATTGAAACACATTGAAGTTATTCTTAAATTTTAATTTAACAATTTAGTAACAGTGTTTAATGAGTCACCAATTTTATAATAAACTTGAAAAATGTACTAAGAAGGAAGATTTGATATAGTATGAAAAAGTATCAAGAAGTGTGATAAATGAGCATCACATAAAAGGTAAAATCATGAACGAAAGAAGGAAGAGTTATCCAATATGGCCCATCTCCAACTTCTCTGCAATAGTCCATAAGTATAAGTTGATACATGTTGTGTTAACCTCAATACATTAGTTCAAAAACTAGGCAAGACTTTTGCAATTGCGAATTTCCACAGAAAATCACGTGAAAGGAAAAAACTTGGAAATTTGACCGATCAAGTGCTGAAATGAACTTAGCAGCAACCTTGAAGTTCATAGATGTCATTTTAATGACATCTGTATATAGAAAGTACCACCATACCTGTAAAATTCAACCAAAACTTCATCTGAGGTTCCAGAATTAATTATTTTGTTCCACTCCAAATGTGAAAAGTAAGAAGCAAAGTTCTGAATGAATTCTGAAATTGTCTCATTTGGAGGCTTCACACAACAAACGATGTCCACCCCAACAATGCACACAGGTTCAGATGCTATTGCCACATAGTCACCATGATGAGATACATTGAAATTAAAATTGGGAAATTCTGAGTAAGCTTTAGCACATTCCTGAAAACATTATGTAATGAATTTTAAACATTATTATAATCCAGAAGAGCAAATATACTTGGAAAGAGAAATATTCAATCAAGACAGAAAGTAAAATGAGGCAAAAAGAAAAAAAAAAAACAACAAGAGAGAAAAAATTGAGGGCGGGGGGAAGGACAATATCAATTTCTCAACTTCTGCAACTCAATAATATGTTAAGAAAATTGAAGCCTCCTCTAAAGAGAAGGAAATCCTGGGCTACACTATAAATAAATGTTCAATTTTTCAACATTCCAATAGCAAATACAAGGCTGAAGCATCAAAATACTGAATGTTTAAGTATGGCATCCAATTTGAAACCAGTCTTGGACTTGAATTTAGTCAAACACCCTCTTAAATCTCAGTAATCAAAAAGAAAAAAAAAACACCAATACCGAATTAGGAAACAAGAATAATATATGCACTTTTTAATCTTACTAGGTAGGGTTTCCCTTCCAATGTGCGCTTTATAACAACTTCATCATATGGAATCAACAATACTTCCTGTACCATAGCATATTGAAGCAACCGGCTCACAAGTGCCCGTTTCTTATCTTCCATCCTCACAAATCTGCCAATGTAAAGATGCACTAAGTCATACAATTTCCCACAGGCAACTTTGAATGTATTACTGTTGTAGAACCCCATATTTACATAATAATTAAACTTCCAAAATAAAAGACAACTAAAACTTACTAAACATTTAGAATAGAAACTGCAATTCAATTTCTTGCTCGAATTTTCCAAATAGAACCGGCAAGTATTAATTCAGAGCAGTAATCTCAAATTAAAACTAAAGATACTGTCTAACTGATACGTTTAATACTGATTCTAAGAATGCAGTATTTGATTATAAGAAAATGAAAATCACTAGGAAAAAGGAAAACGAAATTAAGATGGGAAAAAAGAACAAACCTGGTTATGGAGGAGTGGTCATGTTGAGGAAGAAGGGAAAGGGCAAAAGAGAAGTCATGGGGAGATGGGTTCCACTTTGATATGTCCACTATCCATCTTCGTACCCCTCTCTCCATTAATAACGTTATTATTTCAATTGACTTCTACGCCTTTCTACTGCAAGCCTGCGGCAGACGACTTTTAAGCTAAAGTATCAATTTGGTCCTTAGTTTTTCCAATTGATTTAATCAAATTCAAGAAAGAAGTTTTTATTCCACATTTGTAGTTTATTGTTGACTTGTAGGGTTAATTTCGGTGAAGGGCGGTAATTATAAAGGTAATCACTTAACAGTACTAACTTCAATTTCAAATTTAACCAACTGGATCATTCAATGAAGTTTCAGACCTTTTTATTCATTAAAATTCCAAAGGTTAATAAAGATTATAAGTGCAGTTTTTGAGTAAAATAAGACATATTTGGGTATGTTTATGAAACGATTTTGATTCTAGACTTCTGGATTTCTCTTTTTCTTTTGGAAAAAATGGGTATCTCTGGTGTTTGCAGGAGCAGTTAGACTAGTTTCTGAGATGGTTTTGTGGTAAATTTGTAGAGATCTCAGATGGAAGAGAGAAAAAAATTTTCATTTATAAATTAAGTATTAGTTATGTGAAATTCGAGTAAACGCAAAATTTCAATTATATAAAAAAAAACTAGACTATTATAAAAATATAAGATTAAATACTTTCAAGTGACAAATTGAAGTTAGTATTCCGTTAAGTGATTACCTTTATAATTCAAGTCTTTTTAAAGAAATTAACCTTGAATTGTAAGATAGATTGAGTTATCCAAAATATTAAAATTTAAGGGTCAATTTTGTTAAAAAAAAAAAATCTTTTGGACATGATTGGACTGACTATAAAAATTTTAGCACATTATTGGACTAATTATAAAAATTTTAAGTATCAATTTGATATTTAAGCGTAAATTTGACTCAACAAAAGGGGAGGCTGACAAATAATAAAAGGATCATTCAGCCAATTTGAATAATATTTCAACCAAATTTAATTGAATTAATTTTTTAACCAAAGTTAAGCGAATCATTTTGGCTGAATTAATTTTGAATATTAATCCTCCCGAAATTAAAGAAAATAAAAATTTAATTAACCGATCGAATTTAATTGAAATTTGCGATTAATCAACTTTAGTCGAGATAAAATTAATAAAATTTGTGATTAACTGACTTTAACTAAAATAAAATTAACCGAGAATATTAATTAAAAAAAAAAAAGACATAATTTTGAAAGTCAATGAGTTTGACCAATTCAGTTTGATTAATTTTTAACCAATCACATGAAATCTGATTTTCTTTAACTAAATATTTAGTCACCGATCAAATTGGATGAGTCGAATGCTCATGGCGTACAAATGCATGGATTTAGATACTCATGGGCCGGATACACACAGTTAGGAGATGTTGATTGATTTGAAATATTCTAATTCAATCTGACATTTCAAATTAAATTTTAGTTTGAAATATAATTTTTAGAATGTGAAATTTAAAATGAGTGCATTTTTTTAAAATATTAGTGTATAAAATAGCAAACTGAAACATAATAGAAATTTTATATTCCAATCCATATATTAAAATTTTATTTTATTACTTTTAGTTTTTAAATATATATTTTAATACTAAAATATTAAAATACAACAAAATATATTTAAATTAAATATTTGAACAAAATATTGTTAAAATTTAACATCTTAAAAAAGTCCTATTTATTTCTAAAACCATGTAGTTTAACGGAATCCTTTAATCTTAATTAGTAATTGATAATTCAAAAACAAAGTAAACTACATATGCTCCTCATCAGTCATATTTAATTATGTAATTCATCACTCTAGGGTTTAAAATTAACCACTCATCATGAAAAATATTATTCTCATCCTTAGTTGTTCTTGACAATAATCTTTTAATGATCAACTCTTAACATAAATTTTAACACAAACTTTTGAAAATTTCTTTTATGAATTATATATGTGAGATATAATTTGTGTTTTTTATTTTAATGATGGTTATGTTTCTTTAGTACTTATATTTAATTTTAAATAAATACATTATTTATTTCTTATTAAATTTAAAAATTTATATTTTCTTTAAAAGAAATTAAACTAGAAATTTTATTAAAAGGAAGCTGTATATAGATATGGGATATAAATTAATAAGTTTCTATATTTTTGTATCGAAAGTTTAATAATAATCACTTATATAAATAATAAAAAATACAATTTTAATTTGAAGTATATGATCGAATTGACAGAGAATAATATTTATGTCATTTGCGATCATTTGCTCCACTTGGGTCATGAATCGATTTCATGACCTTCCTACAAATATGATTTGAGCATAATATTCTATCTCTTGTCTTTGACTCTCATTTTGATGGTCCACAAACGGTAAAAATTTTGAAAAATCGACTCTCATTTTTAACTTCAATCCATTTACAAGATAATTAAAATTTTATTTTTTAATAAGAAAATATATTCCTTCTTTATGGATTTTTAATCATCAAAGCACTTTTATATAAAAATTAAAAACGGATAAAAATATGCATTAGATCATTAAAAATATTATATGCATGAAATTTTTTTTTTTTCTGTTTCTTTATTAAATAATCCATATCCAGTTTAACAAGAAAATATCAAGTCAAAGTTTGGTGGTTTACATATGCTCAATCTTAGAGTATTTAGGCGGCCAAACAAAGTTAAGAAGGAAAATGTTTTCTCATTATTAATTAAATTAATCATTAATTAACTTTGCCTTTACGTTTTGTTTGCCAATTTGCTTTCACAGTGTACAAAACTTGTGGCGATCAAGTGGGTTTGTTGTCCTAACCCATGTCGTTATCCTCTATGCCATAACCACCATAATGCCTACATCCACATATATATATAGCTTTATGTCTTAATAAGAAAGATCATAGAACTAGAAATTAATCAAGCAAATTAAAGAATCCTCCAATGAAGTATGTGAAGCTTCATAAGTGCCGACTCCGGCAAGACGAGTTGTTTTCGGAGGCAGAAACCGGCCATTGGAGTCAGACCGGAAGAATATGTGACAAAGAACATGAAAATATGAATACACATCAAGTGACAAAGTTTGTGGAAGCTATGCAAAGGGTCATTATGGCAAAGGCCAGAAAGGAGCAAGCATATGATAGTGCTAGCAGAGATGGTGGTAAAAAGATTAAATGAATAAGTTTATTATATTTTATATATATTTTTCAATAACTAAATCCTTTTGGATATAAGACTAATGTTATCTCAAGATCCATGGCTCTTCCTCTCCATAAATGCTTTAGGTATGAGGTAAATACTCGATATCAAATCATTTAATTGCAATGGTGTGTTATTTCAAGATTTGTGGCTCCTTCTCCCCATAAATGCTTTGGGTACGAGGTAAATACTCGGTATCAAATTGTTTATTTGTAATGGTTTACCGTTGTCTTCTCTTTGGGCAGGCACTCGTAAAAGATTGTCATATATATTGACTATCAGTAATTGCTCTTATAAATATGAAATTTCAGCTTTATTTATTGTATCTTTGAATTATACTTGACGATTGCTCTAATTTTGTCAAAATTAGAAATATAACAATTCAAAAAATAAATATTATCCAAATATAATTTATATTTTTATGTGCAAATGTTTAGGATTAGCAAGTAATTGAATTTGGAAAAAATAAATAATTAGTAAATTACTCCTTTTACTCTATTTATATAGAGCAAGTTTCCTATTTTGACGTTCTATTAGAGAAATTTCCCTAAAATGGTAAGTTTGGGACTAATGCCAAAGAAAAAAAAAGTCTAATATGCCCTTATTTTGGTTTATAGATTAAACCATGATTTTAAGAGTATTTTAAGAAAGTGGCGGACATTATTTTAGTTGGACATTTAATATTCTAAAACTGATAGAACCATGCATTAATAAAATGTGAACTTCAAGCACATTATGCGTACAAATTAAATTTGACCAAGAAGATTATACTTAATAATCAAATGTGTACATAGAATGAGATTTAATAAATCCAAAATGAAGGAAAATTTTCCTGAACGACAATTCTTAAATCAAAATTGTTGTGCTCATTTATGTTAACTTATAGCTATGAACACTGATAATTTGATTCTCATAAATAGCTTTACCTTATAGGTAACTTAAAGTATTGCAAACACATAAAATAGTTAGTCCATACTTATAGAAAAAAATATGTAAATATTTTTACATGAGAGTGCATATATATTAAAAATGTGTGCAATATAAATTGAAAATCAGTGAACATATTGAGCAGTAGAGCTCACGTTTTTGTCTTGTTGGAAGTATAAATAAATAAAACTTCTCATTTGAATAAAACATCCTCTGTCTCATTATTTATCATCCTTTTATTAAAATTTGGGGACCACTTAATTATCTTTTCAAGGGTAAATTAGAAAAATCTATAAAGAATATCATCTACTTAATTCTAGAGAAATTTGATTTTCTCGAAGGAGGGAGTATACAGTATGTTTTCTGTAAAGTAGTACTTCCATTCATTAATTTGATACTTTTTGAGGTGCTTGAGTCATTTTCTTGATTATTGAGTAAAGTCAATGAATGTCAAATAAATAGTGAAAGTATTTAATTATGACATTTAATGAAAATATGCATGATTCTAATTAGAACTTCATTTTTTTTGAACAAATTTGCATAATTCTAATTAGAACTTCAAATTTTTTATCATTTGATTCAACTGTTATTTTATTTTAATTTATTATTTACATGCACTTTATCTATAATTTATATCTATAATCTATATTATATATAAATGTGGGAATAATAAAATTTTGGATGGCGCCTTTAATCAAATATGAATATCCTAAATAACCTTAATAATGACCAATTAAAAAATTATATTTTATTAGCCAATTGGATATAATTTATTAAATTATTTTTTAAATAAACAACATATAGATATAGATAATTAAGCATTTTAAAACTTTTCATTTTATCTTTTTTTTAAATTTATTTTTTAATAAATATATATAATAATGAAACAACCGAAAATTTTTATATTTTATTTTTTAAATTTTAAATTTTCAAAATGGGTATACATAATTAAATCTTATTTAATTTCACTTTTTATGATTTTATTTTTTAAAATAAAATGACC